AATGAACAAAACTTCTTACAATCGTCTGTTTTTAACTCTTATTATAACAAAACTAAACAATAATAAAATATTCACTCACAAAAATAAATTAATAAATACTGTTGGAACGAAACAATCTTTTATATCATGACACTGTACACAAGCCAAGGATCAGGTACTGCAGTTCGAGGTATTTAACTTTGGACTAGCTTTTGGCACCGTATGGGTTCTGCCAAATTGTATGAGCTTTTTCTTGTCACTTCCATACCCTAGCCTTGTGTACACACCATTCGCTACTGCTGGCACCATCTTCAAGTTTTCGAACATCACACCAGGATTCTACTTTCAGAACAACTAAAGCAGGCTTCATTCTCAGAGCCATTACTGCTCCAACTGAATGTTTCATCATTCCATGTTTTTTTCATCATTTAACTTAGTCGGGTTCAATCAAATTTCATTTGGCTTTACGCTATTTAACAGAAAGCAAGATTTCCCCTCTCCTTCTCCCTCTTTCTCTTTTAGGATTGTGGGCTTCACTCAAATCCCTCTTGCCTTTGGGATGAACACACAAGAGACATTTTCAGTGGTCTTTAAGCAACGAAGGAATCATAAATGTGTATTCAACAGATTTTCCAGTTTCCTTATTTAGGATCATTCTTTGATCTTGAGGGGTTGTTAAGTCGGGAAAATACTAAGACATGGTTACCTATGCCTTCACCTTGTCTGGAGATCCATATCTTCATGAATACCTTGCTTCAGTGATGGGGTGCATATCTCAATGATCAGGAATTCCAGGGTCTATGCATGGACGATAAGGCTTACCTACACAACATTTTAATTCTTCTTGCTCTTTAAAAGGCAATGCCTCTTGGCCTGGGCTTATTAAGAGGAACATCATCAGGCTTCACTCCAACAATTCCATGGTTGTGTTTTGATTTCCCGTCAAGGTGGCACTTGGTCTAGGGTTCCTTGTTTTCAAACCTCGGATCTTTTTTATTGGGGCCACTCCTATACTATACCCTGCTGGTTTGCCATATTTCACACGTAATGACTGCAGTAGCAGATCAGTTATTTTTACCCCAACAGAATAGTTGCTACATTGTAAGGTTTTCTGTTGGATTGGCTCTCCTTTTGAAATATTGATGATTGGAGGGTTACCACTCATTGGAACACTCAGCTACTGGCGATTTGGTTCGCAATACCTCGCCTTTGGGCTTTGGCAATGGATGTATTTCATCAGGACAGGATGAGTTTACAAATCTGAGACTTCCCTCCAATTCATATGTTACCCCAGGTACTAACTATGATAGCATCAGATTAGCAGCTACACCCTGGTTTCTGAATCTGCAGCACCTTGGGGAGTGCCCATCTCTTCCAGTTTGTCTGTCACTGTGGAGGCAACCATGATCTAACATGGAACAGCCAGCTATCCAGCAGCTCAAGCTTCAGGCATGGAGGTTAGGCACTCCTTAGCATGGTATCTGGGTTTAATTTTTATGGTTGCCATGTATATGTCTCAGGCTTTGCTTACTCCTATGATGGACATTTCTCAATGGAAATGGCACATGTTTTGGTGATGTATTGAGAAGGGTTGAACCCAGTTCAATCAGAAGTGCCAACCATAACTCTCTCTTTTTTTTTGACCTGGCTATTTGGCAAGGGTTTTCCATCTTCCACAATTGTCCTGTATAAGGTGACTTTATAAAATAGCATTCAATACTTGAAACAAAATTTCTCTGAGGCCCCAGTTCTCTCCATCTTCCTTAAGTTGCTTTGAGTCCTTTGTCCCAAACAACCATTCCAATTACCTAATATAAGATTACATTACCTGCCCTTTCTCAACATCCATTTATGACCTCAGCCTCATATGCCATCTATCACCTTTACCTGAAGGTTTATTTTTCATTATTCCAGACCTACAGACAGTGAATGATTTTAAGTATAAAGAGGTTTGTAAGTTGTTAAGAGTAAGACAGTCTTTAGCTATGAGTAAACTTTCTCTATTGTAGAGTTCAAGGTCTAAAGATCCTTTAGCGATGATAGAGAAATCGTTATATGAAATATTGTGACTGTAGTTTCAACATGTGAACAAATGAATGAGTGGATGGGTTTAAATAATGGCAAGAGGCTATATGTTAGAAGAGAGTTAGATCTCTGGTTCAGTGAAGAAGGTGTCATCCATAGAGTGAAGTTAGTCATTTCCAATCTCAAATTAGGAATCAACATCCTCAGGATGGGTATCCTTTTGAGATTGTCCCTCAGTTTTGTATGTGGAATAAATGGGCTGATGTTTCATCATGAGGATATCCAATGCCAAAAAGATCAAGCCCAGAAACCGAGTACTGCATGAGAGTATGTAGAGGAAGGAATTATGGGGAGATATTTATATCAATTCACATCAATTTATTCAACATGATACAATAAAATCATGCATGTGTATAATTACGATATGAAAGAAATATATATATATATAAATCGAACAACAACAAATATATACTCAAACACATTCCTCTCTTTATATATGTTTTTCCATTAATGCTGTGCCTGGAATGCGTTGTAGTTAAGGCATTTGAATCACAATCTGCAAGTTGTGGGTTCAAATCCACCTCACTGAACATGCTTACCCTTTCAGCTGTTGGAGTTATAATGTGAAAGTCATTCCCACTATTCATTGGTAAAAGAGTAGCCCAAGAGTTGGTGATAGGTAGTGTTGACTAGTTGCCTTCCCTCTATCACTGCTATCATTGGTCTTTTCACACTTTATTTCTCAGGTATGTGATATTTTGTCTCATTTAATCTGTTTCCTATGGCCCTAGACCTTTGCTCTTACATAAAACAACTTCCTGCCCCTATTTAGTATTTTCCCCATCCCATGGTATTAGGTTCACGTGAACCGAGTTGACTCTCAATTGGTGGGTGGTATTAGTATACCATGTCCCCCACGGGCTTCGGATCAGGGCTGGGGTGCCTGGGTGGATCACCAGGAGGTTTTGGTTTGTTGGTCTGTGGAGGAAAGCTCTTCACATCAATGTTTTTGTACTCCTGGCTGTTCATCAGGCTTTGGATCAATTTCTTTCTCTTGCCAGCCACTGGCTGGTTATGATCCATTCCAACAATTCTACCATAGTGGCTTACATCAATCACTTAGGTGGCACTAAGTCCAAATCCCTATGTTTTGCACTATGGATCTTCTTTATTGGGCCCCCACACATAAACTTTGTTTGATGGTGTGTCGTTTACCAGGTGCTTTCAATCTCTTAGCTGATCATCTTTCCCAACCAGATCGCGTTTATTCTATGGAGTGGTCATTGCATTTTGCCATTTCGGTGGCTCTGTATGTGTCTGGGTACATCCCATATTGAGCACCTTTGTCACCACCCTCAGTTTTGTTCCCCGATCCTTGAGCCTTGGCTTTCGATGCCATCAGCAAAGATTGGTCTCATCTTTTCCTTCATGTTTACCCTCCCATCTGTTTACTTGATCGGGTGGTTTCCCTCATCCATGCTCAGTCCTTTGATTGCTCCAACTACAGGTGGGCCATCCCCTTTTGTCTCAACCTGCTCCATCAACCCCAGTCACTGGCAATTTATCCCGTATCATCCATCTTCATGCCTGGCATTTGTCAGGTCCTTGGCGAGGAGTTCTGGTTTCTCTCGCAGAGAAGCTTCACATTTAGCCTGTTCCATTCACCTTACTTTTTTGGCCATCTATAAATGCAAATGTTGCCTGTATCTCCAAGTTTCTCACGTGGTTCTTTTAGAAGGGTTCTTTGGTCTCCTCAGTTTTGGGGTTTTGGGCAGGGTTATCCTACACATTCTGTTTTTCCTGCTTCAGCAGGATCTTTTGCATCCCTATCCTTTCCATGTTGATCCATTCCTTCTGGCCCAGCGTGACCAGGTGGTTAGGAGCTCGATTCACAAACTGCGGGTTCGATTTCCTATCCCACCAAACATACTCACCCTTTCAGCCATGGAGGCATTATAATGTGACAGTCAATCCCATTATTTGTTGGTAAAAGAGTAGCTCAAGAGTTGGTGGAGATGACTAGCTGCCTTCCCTCTAGTCTTTTACTGTGGAAATTCATAAACCAAACAAACCTTCTGGCTCCGTTGGCCACCGAGGCATCTGTCACTCCTGGACTGGGACATTAACGTGATTCTTCAATTTACCTCCATTTGAACCTCTGTCTACGTGTTTCCTGTTTCACCTTTCTTTGAAGGCATATTTCATCCTCCTCCTCCTGGCCTGCGGACATCTTAGGTTGGATATTTTCTACCTCGACGTTACCAGGATCTTGTACCACTCCTCTTACCCTATCCTTTATCCGGATTGTGCTTTCCTTACAAAAGACCTGTTATTTGTTATCCTCTATATCTCATCTCAACCCTAGTCCTGATCCAGATAGACTCCTTTATCCTGTCCATGCCCTTTATTGTTATATTGCTCACAAAGCTTCCTTCCAGGGTCCTCATTCCTGCCTTTTTATCCCTTGGCAACCTTCCTCTTCCTGTAATCTTTCCCCAGTTATCCTGACCAATTGGGTTTGACGTTTGATCCAGTTGTCCTATTCCTCCTTTTCTCCTTCCCAGCGTGATCTCTTTCACATTTCCTCACATCAAATCCATCAACTTACCCTCTCTTTTGCTTCTCGTCTTCATTGGACATTGGAATAGATTCTACGATTGGGCATGTGAACGACTCTGCACACGTTCATCTCCCACTACCTACACCACATTGCTGTTTCTGCTTTATCAGTGTATAGCCTGCTGTCTGTACTTTGAATGTATTCCACTTAGATGGCTATAACTATTTGCAGACATCTTGCTATCAAATCCACACTGTAAGCCATGTTGATTCTTACACATTTTCCCTGGGTATTTATGCTCACCCTTGAGATGGAGTGTTTCACAAGATCACTAGAGTGTAAATTCCTCATCATAATTGTGTGATAATATGCCCGTCCCGGACTGTACCACCCATGAACGGCATGGGTAAAGCAGAAGGGGATTGCTGCCCATCACTGCTACATCTAGATTGAATAAATTGAATGGTCTGCTTTTCAAAATAGGTTTTTGTGATCACTCATTGCACTGTCTTTGGTGTTGCAGTTCCTCTGGACTCTCCACTGCACCCCATTCTTCCAGTGGAGTACAAGAGTCCTTACCACTTACCACTTCCAAGCTGCTGGGGTGGTTGACCACAGAGGCAACCTGCTGGATGGGTTCCACAAAGATGGCTATAATCATTCATTTCAGAATAGGACAATGATGTTCTGCTGGTGTAGAGGGAGTTACAAAATTCTCCAGATGAGTAACTATTTCCTGGAGTTGAGATGCCCAAATGCAGTTCACCCTCCGATAGAGTGCCCTCCTCCTACCCTTACGTGGATGTGGGTACCCAGCAAGTAAGGTTTTGGAGATCAAGTGAACCAATCACATAAGGCTCCAAACAGGTTTTGGGTTGTATATCTTCCCCTATCAACTTGTCTTCTGTGTTGTGGGTCGCAGGAGGTCTACATGGCCTGTTTCCACATCTGTCCTGGGTTTTCTCTCATTGGGTGACAAGGTTGTTACCAAACTGGAATTGTTTGGGGCTGGTTTCATGGTTGCAGGGGTTGAGTGCATGTGATGGACCTCCATCTGATTTCGGATGACACATTCCCAGATCCCTGGCATTAGGCTACCCTGTGAGTTCCTGGAGTAGAATGTTAGTTTCACACTTGACTTTGGGACTTTAGGTGAAGACGGTATGATCCTATCCTCGTGAGGATGTCGGTGCCCATCGAGTGAGGTTTTGGATATTGTTGACTTACCGAGTATGATCCATTACACCTTAGCCACTCTAAACCAAGAGACACATCCTCACTTGCCCACTTCCATCGTGGGATTGAGTGATTCAGATTTATGTTTAAGATCACATTGCTAAACTATCCTCTCCCACGATGATGTGCTCCCTTTAATTTTCCACCATCTATGGTCCTCCTTATAATGTCGATGTTCATAGTGAAGAGATACAATGCTCAGATGTGGTGCAGTACCTCTCCCCAGATCATCTGATCTGTTCCTCTCATTTCAGGTGTGTCCTCAGGACACTTCCAAAGGATATGCCTGTGCCTCCCTCTCACTGGTTCCTCCTCCATTTTAATGTGGGATTCAAGCTAATCTTGTGAGTGGAGGGAGAGTACCTTATTGGAAGTTATAATTTTCCTAAATGAAAATGTATTTCCATTAGGTACTTCCCTCTCCTCACACTTCCCACCCGTCCTCCCCACAATCTTCCCGTGCTCGCGTCTTCTGCCAAACTTTGAAGTGATAGTTTGGTAGTGGTGCATAGGAAGAGTAACATGTGTCACATAATAGTAATGCTCTCCTATTGGTGGAGAGGTGATTTGCATGAGAAATTTGTTGGAACTGTGGATTCCAATAGAGGGAGGATGAAGGCTTGTGGCATGCATTTCTGAAAATTTTTGCATATAGAAGGCAGCACAAAACGTGAAAAGCTAATCATGTGAGTAAAATGAAGTACCTATTGGAAATACATTTTCATTTAGGAAAATTATAACTTCTACAGTTAACCAGCTCTCCAGTGGCACAGTGGTATATCTGCAGACTTATACTGCTAAAAACCGGGTTTTGATAAACATGGTGGGCAGAGCTCAGATAGCCCATTGTGTTGCTTTGTGCTTAACTTAAAACAAACAATTAACCATTGAGGAGGTGTACAGCATCACAGACAGATATATATATATATATATGTATTCTGAAATATTTGATGGATAAACAACTTTGTGTCAGCCAATATTGAATTACCAATCCTTTTATGTTTTATTACAGTATATGCAGCCAGTGACTTTGTACATTCAGATGGAGCTATGTGGAATGAGACTCAAAGATTATTTGAATGAAAGAAATAACACTGAACCCCAAACAGGACCAGGTAAGTACATGAACTTAGGCCTTTATGAAACACTAATTGTTATTCCTAGCCTTCTTCACTGCAAAGACCAGCAGAATATTTGTAAAAAGCTAATGGACCATTAGGCATATATGGCCTTATAATCTAAAGACAACAATAATAAACCATATAACCTGAGAACTTTCCTTCATCAAGGGCAAAGCACAATTTATGTCCTATAGATATGAAGTTGAAAGGAAGTAGATAGATAATTTTATAATGATTTTTAGAGCAAATTTGAAAGGATTTAGAATTTTAATAATGTTAATTCAGAAAGAATTATACATATACTGGATGTTTCTGCAGTCTAGTAATAGTTCCAAAACATACCTCTTCTCACACTTATAGCTATTACTCTACTGCCTGGGTTTTTCCTTTGCCCATTTAAGCATTGGTCTGATTTTTTTCTCACTTGATCCAGTGACTCCATTTAACTGCCCTTCATGATATTTGTCTTGTGACTCTCCATCTATGTCAATGCATCCTCCATCCTGGTACTGTATATAAGTACCTCATTCAGATAATTTTATCACTTTTCTCGACAAAGCATTCACTAACGGGTTTCTTCATAGTAAAATCATTGGAGATACTTTGAGTGCTCTTCATTACCTGGTTGATTTTCTTTCTTTTTTTTTAAATTGTTTGGCAAGCCAATATATGACATGAATTTCAGAATTATTATTTCCAGCAGGGAGACAAATTTGGTCTCTCCTATCCCACTATCTAATATCTAATGTCACTTAGTTAAGACTGTTAGTGATCTCATTCATAGCGAGATGGATACATATATTCAGTTTGATTGTGTTCCTCTGGGGGGTCCTGAAGCTGCAATTGAGGGTGGTCCTGGACATTCTGGAGAGAAGTTAGATTCACTTTTTTCTTCATCTTTATTCTGTTGGCTTTTCAGGAGGCTGCCTCAAGCTACTTTTCTTCAGTTGGTCCATCGAGTGTATGATGTTTTCCCCAGTTGCTTTTGAGCCCTCACTTTACTTGATGGCTAAAATGTCTGGGAGTGAATATTTAATCTTCCCTCCATCCACTGACATTGAGGCTCATACATGGATGTTTACTACCCAGTTATGTGAAGGGACAGCTATGACTTGTCTGCTACGATTGTCTGAGCTACGTGATTTATTCTATCACCACCATGTGAAAGCATATCCTGACTCTGAAAGAAAACAACTGCTCCTGGAAATTTGGAGTTCTAGAGCAGAGTCTGAAGATAATCTGAATAGATTACAACTTTTTAGGATCCACCTCACCCTATATATGGTGAAGAGTTGTTTATTAGCCCTCTAAACTTTGTTGGAAGACTCAGGATCACCAAGTTCATTGATGATGAGTTGGGACCATTGTAAGCATGCATGCATGTTGGTTTGATTGTCAGATTCTACCTTTATCTCTGTTGTAGTTGGCATAATGACTTTCATCAGTTCCCACAGGAGATCATAGTTATGCCCCAATTCGAGGGTCCAGACCCCAACATCAACCCCTCAATCCATTGGTACCAAGAATAGGCTTTGTTTATATCCAAGAGTTCTGCTGTTTGGTCAGTATTCCATTAGTGGCTTTGGTGACTATTGTATGCATTTTGGGTGTGTGGTGGCTTAGCTCCATGAATTTATGGTAAACCTTAACCACGGATCCATGAGCACTACAGATTCTTCAGTCAGAATTAGTCATTCAGTTCACATTTTCCCCACCATCTACCCCAGATTCTTGGATTTTTGAATTTTGTTCTAGGTTATCAAGAGTTTGGTTGATCTAGCGGTAGAGAGTCCTGCCGATCCTTCTGGGGTTTTACTCCCATTGGTTTGTTAAGCCGAAGAAAACAGGGAATTGGCATCCACTAATGATCTTTCTTGTCTATATCAATTCCTAGATTCTCTAAGGTTCACAAGTGACTCATTCCTCACACTGAGTTGGCATTTTTTACTAGGATTGTGAATGTCCAAGTTTGATGTCTTTGGCTCCTATCTGCACATAGCCATAGTAGTGGTGACCTGCCGCTAACTGCATTTTTGTGCATAAGGGTCAGGTATTGTAGTTCAGGGTTCTTACCTTTAGACTAGCATCAGCACTATATAAGTTCTGCCAAATCGTATGAGTTTTTTCTCATCACCTCCATTCTCTAGCACTGTGCATATACCATTCCATAGACGACTGGGTACTGCTGGCATCATCTTGTTAATTCTGAGAACGTCACACCTGGATTCTACTTTATAAAACAACCAAGACAGGCCTTATTATCGCAGTAATTCGCCAATCTGGGTATTTTTTCATTACGTATCTCAGTCTGGCTCAGCTGATTCTCATCCAGCTCCATGCTATGGAACAGGCAGTACCATTCCTTCTCCCACAGCACAAATGGTTCTTTCTCTTTGGAGAATGTGGACATCACTCAAATTCCTCATGCCTTTGAGACAAGTGCACAAGTGATCCCTTTAGTGGTCTTTGTATGACCAATGGATCATTAACAGCAGTTCATTGCATTATCTAGCTTTCTTATTCAGGATCATTCTCTTCAATCTCGAGGGGTGGTTAGATCAGAAAAGTACTAAGAAAATGGTTCCTCTGCCACCACCTCCCCCAGAGATCCCTCTCTTCACAATGCTTTGTTTCAGAGATGGGGTGCTTAATTCAACCATCAGGAATTCTAAGGTCTTTGCATGGACAATGAGGCTTCCCTACACGATGTTTTAGACCTTCTTGCTCTTCAAAAGGTGATGTCTCATGTTTTTACTTTCTTTCTTTAGCAAATGCACAAAAACATTAGAAAGCTGTATCCTGGTCTTATAACAGTCATTTGTTTGTGATGTCCAATTCACATCCAGAGGCATCTGGTAGGGGTCCAGATGCTTCTCCTAGGAAGTTTTAAAACTTAAACCTGAAATGGTGCATTCTGGTGACCTTTTCTGCATATATATATATATATATTGTACAAACAATTAAATGTACAGGTGACATAAAATGTAAAAATTTACATTTTGATAATTGTCATTTTATTGTAAACTTTGTTGGCAGAAAACAGTCAGCATTCATAGCCTCCTCTGGAAAATATATTTCGAAATTTAAACGTGAAATTGTGTATTGTGTTTATCATTTTTACATATATAATGTATTAAAATGTAACAGGATAATAATTGCTGCAATTAGTATTTATTTGAAATACCAGGATTATGTAATTGGTGGCTTTGTGCATAGATCACAAAATTGAAGCTTATGTGAAGTATAAGGAACCACACAGAGGGTTTGAATACCACAAAACACATGAATTTGTTGTAATATCCATTAATGACACATACAATGTTTGATATCTTGAGCTTATTTATGGAACATTCTTCAAGATGGCATCTAGAATTTTTTAAATACATCATTATTACTTGAATTAACATTCAATAAAGATTTTCTAAGCTCATTTTCACATACATTTCTCTAGGTAAATCTACAGAATAGGACAACTTTTACTTTTTTTAAAATACATATCAATAAAGAAATTATGCACTTCTAGGTATATTATAAGAATACAAGCTTAACTTACACAGAAGTAGAATACTGGAGATGTTCCATGATGCAAAGGCTTCTGCTGAGATGGCTTGCCAGGATTTATGGTTATATGCTAAATGACTGACTCTCTAGGAGTCTGCTGGTGAAGACTGACTTACTGCTACTCTAACCCAATTTTTGTGTGATTATTACAGGATTTATGCAAACTTTTGGAATCCAAACATGTGGTTATCCCTTTGCAAATATTCAGTCATTTGCTTATATAACAACTCTTTATCAAACATGTTTATGATTACTCTAATTTACTGATGTGTTCAGTCCTAGGCAATCTTGAGCAAGACTGTTTACACATGTTCTGTAAATGTCAAAACCCTTAACATATAAGTGATCTAGTTTCCTTTATAATTATTAATTTATCTCCTTACTAATGAGCTCCTTCTTAAATTTGCATCTTACTTTGTATAAACATCTTGCCTATTTGGAAGTTTAAGAGATGTTTATTTGCTTTGATAAGAAATGTAGGTATAGCTTATTATGTAACTTCTCAATAGAGGGTCTGGCTTTTCAATTAACAGATTGTGCAACTACACTTTCCTTGATATCTGTTTTTTGGCTGTTCCATCGAACCTTATTCTTGGTTCTCTTAAACTGATAATTTTTAATATGCAATGTTACAGGAAAGTTTTTGTCAAGCAGTTCTATAGAATTGTACCTAATATAATCTATTCATAAGAGAAATCTACCCTTAGAAGTATTTGTTTCAAAAAATTAACAATACAGGCTACAATGGGTTAATCTCAAGCAATTACAAGATAAAATACTGACATGTATAAGGGGAAGTTGCTTATGTCATTCTGTATGTATACTGCCATAACTTAATTATGCATAACCATATTTATCATATACAAGGGTTTATAACCCATGTTTAATATTTTATATCAAATAGAATTCATATTTTGAATTTTCAGTGTTGCTAAAATCATTGACTTCAGTAAATCCCTTTGAATACTTAAAGTTAAACATAATTATTTATTTTTATTACTGTTGGTACTATAGGATGAATTAAAGATTAATTTATCCTATAAAAATATAACTTCTTAAGAAAGAATTCAATCTTTTATTTATTTTTTCAGTCTTGTAATCATTACATGCATTAACTTAAAGTTTATTTTGCAGAAGTATTTTCTAAAGTGGATTTGGAAGAAGTATTGAACATTTTCCAACAATTACTGAAAGGTGTGGATCACATTCATTCCAAAGGTCTTATTCATAGGGATTTAAAGGTAATATTGACATAATTAACATTAAAAAGTATATACATGATTTATAAATCAATTATAAAAATATCAAGTAGTTTGATATGGAGACAGAATTTCTATTCAGAAATATGAAAGCCTATATTTTAAATATTCTCATCAGGCAACAATCCTAAAAACAGTGTGTAGATGACACTAAAAGAAATTCCTGGATCATTAAGTACTGTAGTACTTAATAGTAGGAATTGTGATGAAACAAAATGGTGGCCATACAAATTACTCCTTTAAAACCAACTTTAAAATGTCTGATTATCAACAATGACTATTTCACAGTATTGGCTGAGCAAAACTAAGGCTTGTTGTACTTGTAAAGCTGCCTTAATCACTATATACATGTTTATGGAGTGAATCAAAATTTGACTATTTCAACAAATTTTAATCTAAGTAAGTGACCCTTTCTGAGAAGTATACAGAAAAAAATTAGGAACTTTATTGCTCTTATTCTTTCACAGAACTCTTCCATCCAATGATTCCTTTCTTGTACCAAAAAGGATACTAGTATAGATGTATAATACTTCCAATACCTGATGTTACCTCTTCTCACATAAATAGTTATTTTCATTCATTGCTGCCTTTTATATGCAAAAAAAAGTTTTTTTGCATGCAACAAGCCTTGAGCTTCCACATACCTTACCATCAAATAGTTCAACTGCATCTCATATGTAAATCATCATGTGACAACCAAAAAAGAGTGAGACATACTCCTGTTGCCGCATGTGAGAACCTCTATTCTATTCTATTGAACTGTCACTTCTCTTTTGATAGTACTTGTGTCAAGACACTTTTTGTTGTGCTCTTCAATCATGTTTTTTTCATTCAAGTTAATGCATTTTTTTATTTATATTTATTCTGAAGTGGATTTTTCTTTTTTTTTCTAAAGTTCACAAATTTTCTGATAACTTATTTTTCACAGTTTTCAATTTTTTTGTCATTAAACGAATTTGATTGTTATTTTGTTACAGAATGAACTCTGAAGTACAAGTTACCACTTTGGAGCTAATATCTTCTACTAGCACTCTCACACAAAATACAAGTGGCGGTAACTCATCTATGGACTTATCGGCTCTCATCCGTTGTGAGTTTGAGTGTTGTATAAGTCAGCCTGCTTCTCCTGATGTTGGCCTTATTCCTCCCAAACATGCAGGAACCTGTTTGGGTTGACGAGGATTTTGACAGCTTTTTTCCTCCACTTAAATTTGTTGTGTCTTCCTATGTCCCTACTATAGAATCAGCTAGGCATAATACGGCCTTTTTAGATATGATTTTTCAGGTATGTTCTGTTTTATCCATTTCTCTGATATCATATGATCCCCCTCCTTCTTTGTTGCATGAATACCCCCTCCTTTCAATGTTTGGTTTTCCCCCCATTTCTTGAATATTAGAGTTCATGCAGAGCATTGTGTTTTTAAGATGGTTGATGTTGCTAGCATGCGTTGCCCTCCATGGGCTTTGGATCAGTTTGCTTTGACCTACCATCAGGCTGAATGTCCATTTCTCAGTTCTCAACAGTTGGAATCAAATTTGCCTGTGTGGGAGACAGACCCTGATAATCCTGTTCGTTTCTCTTATGCCCAATTTTCTTGCCTTCATCTTAACCTATCGATTTTCCTGCAGTATTTATCTACCATCCACCTCCTTTCAGAGGCAATCCACTGAGAGGGTTTTTCGGAAGATAGCTTATCCCTGATTACCTCCCAGTTGGCATGCTTGTCTTCTTTAGCTTTTTCCTCACACACATGGTTTCTTTATTGTTGGGATTTCCTGGGGAGGGATGCTGTTTTGTCACAAATTTGTTTACTGCCAACTTATCTCCGGGACTTACGCATGTCCCATTTTCTACAGCAGTATGTTTTCAGTAATATTACTGAGACTTTGGAATCTTGTATTGAATCAGTGAGACAACAAATGACCTTTTCTCCTTTGGTGGATCACTTGTCTGTTTCAGAGCCTAGATAATCCCCTATTACTGTTTCCTGTCCCTCTCCTTTCCAGGAGTTCCTATACTTGTCATAATATTTGACAAAGACTGACATGTCACCAACAGTACCGGTGACTACCCACTGGGTTTCAGGTCTAGTGGGGGCTTGCTTGACTGGTTTTGTTCCACTTTGGTGACTTCCAGCCACAGATCTGTATGTTATTCGGATATTAACTGAGGGACTTGTAATCCAATTATTTTCCCCTCTTCTTTTGTCTCAGGCACCTGTATCCTTTTCCTTGCCTTGGGATCCTATCACCAGTCAGTTTCTGTTTAAGGCAGTACAAGATCTTCCCTCCCAAAATACCATCGAACCTGCCATTCATCCTTCTCCAAGTTTTTATTTGAGGCTGATTGCAATACCCTAGAAAATCAGTAAGTGGTGGCCTGTGATCGATTTGTCCCACCTCATTCAGTTTTTGGTTCTATCCCAATTTACCATGGAGTTTTTTTCAAACCTTCAGGTGGGCTTTTTCTCCAGGTTTGTAGATAACCAAGGTAGACATCATGAATGCTTACCTGCATGTTCTAATATCTCATCTTTTGAGGCACTATCTTTGGTTTGTTCATCATAGGGTAGTTTATCAATTTTGTGCCCTGCCCTTCAGGCTTGCTTCAACCCTGTATGTCTTTTGTCAGGTGGTCAAGGCTTTTGCCGAACATTTGCAAGCTCAGGGGTTGTGCTTACATCATTATATAGAGGACTGGCTTCTGTTAGCTCATTCTGAACAAGAGTCTGATCATCGCACTCATCTACTGCTCTTGGAGGTAGCTTGTGTGGGTTGGTTAGTCAAGTTTCTTATACCTACCCAATATCTTGTCCAGTTGGGTATCTTTTTCAACATTCTTCTTAGTTGGGCCCAGCTTTCTCTTCTTCAACTTTGTTTGATGGAGCTTTCAGTTCTTCACACCCTTACTGCTGCCTCTCTTACAGCTCATGAGGTTCTATTGCTTGTATGAATGTGATCTTCTATGGAAGTCCTTATCCCCTTGGGTCACGCACATTTGAGATCTCTTCAGTGGGCTTTGCACAACTAATGGAATCTTGTGCAGGATCCATTAGAAGCTCCTATTTACCTTCCTCCTTCCCTTTTTGGTGATGTGCATTGATGGTTGGACTGGTTCACACATTGGTAGGTGTTCCACTTCCTCCCCTTGTCTGGATTTGCATATCTTAATGGATGCTTCCCTTCAGGGCTGGGGTGGGCAATGGGTCAATCAGCAGCAACCTTCACATCGGTGGTCTCCGGGCAAAAGATCTTACCTTATCAACATCCTGGAGCTTCTGGCTGCACAGCGTATTTTGGATCATTTTCTGACAATTTTACTGTGGAGGCTTATATCAATCACCAAATTGGCACCCATTCTCATTCCCTTTGTGGTCAAGCTTTGGATCTCCCTTTTTGGACCCACACACTCAATATTCATCTCCTTGTGTGTCATGTTCTGGATGCATTCATTCTTCTTGCAGATAATCTTTCCTGTCCTGAAAAGTTTATCTGACAGAGTGTTCCCTCGATCCTCATGTTTTCGAGTGGCTATGTCTTCTGTGGGGTACTCCTCACCTAGATGTGTTTGCCACATTCCTCAATACCAAGTTACCTCTGTTTTGGTCTCCAGTTCCTCATCTGCTTGTTTTGGCTGTTGATGCATTCAGTCAAGATTGGACCAATAAATACCTGTATGTTTATCCTCCCATCTACCTTTTTCCTAGAGGGATTTCAATCATCCATGCCACTTCTGATTGCTCCTTACTGGCTAGCACAAATGTGATTTCTACAGCTGCTTCTGCTACAATCTACCCCCCTGTTACCTCTTCCTCTTACTCCCTTCTATGTCAACTTCAGTCATTGGCATTTCACCCAGCTCTTCATATATTTCATTTTCAAGCCTAGTTTTTATCTGGTTCCTGGTGAGAAGATCCAGTTTGTTTTGGCGTGTCACTTCTTTTATAGCTTGTTCCATTTGACCTAGGATGTTTATCAATGCAAGTGGAAAATTTTCTGTCATTGGTCTTTAGGACAAGGATTTACCCTGCTTGACCTACTGTTCCTCATCTTACGGATTTCCTCACTTGGCTGTTTGATCAGGGGCCTTCTGTCTCCTTGATCGTGTGATACTGAGCTGCCTTATCCCATATTTTTTTGTTTTCCCAGGTACCATAAAGTTTTAACCTCTACTACCCTTTCCCGATGGTTGCATTATTTACTGATTCATTGTCCACCTCAGTGTGCAGTCCTTCCAAAATGGGATGTCAGTATGATTCTTTACTGTCTTACTTTGCCTACTTTGAACCTCTGGCTTTGTGCTCAATTTTTCACTTGTCCCTTAAGACATATTTCCTTCTCCTATTGGCCTATGGACATCATCAGTCGGATTTATTTGCCATTGACGTTTCACATACTCTATATCATTCCACATATATTCTCCTTTATTGAGATCCATCTTTCCTTCCCAAAACTTCGGTGGCTCATGAGGGTAACTCCTCCTTCTCGCTGATTTCCCTTCCATTTTCCACCTGTATACTCAAAGGATCCGGATAAGCTATTATATCTCGTATGTGCTCTTTGTTGTTATGTTGCATGCACAGCATCCTTACGTGGTGCCCACTCCTGTCTATTCATTCTTTGACAGGTATTCTTTGTTCGTGACCTTTCTCCTTACACTCTGACTAGTTGGGTTTGGCTTTTAATTTGATTCACATATTCTTCCTTGTGTTCTTCTTCCTTTAATTTGTTCCAGCTGTCTTCTCATCAGGTCTGGCATATCATCTCTGTCGTTCCTTGCAGGAAATTGTTCAGTCGGGCATGTGGACTACAATACAGACATTCATATCTCACTATCTACTTTAAATCGCTGTTTCTTCATTGTCGGGTTATCATCTTCCACCTGTAGCCATTTTTCAGACGTCAGGGAGACTGTGACTGGGTAAGTTATCTTTTGTATATATGTCTCTTCTTTTTCAGGGGCTTTTCCCTTTCTTTTTTTTTTTTATTGTATTGATTCCACTCTGTGGTGAGTGGTGCCTGACCAGATATGCTTCAAATAGTTAAATCCTTACTGTCATGCCATGTTGACTGCATATTTATAATTTCCATGACCATAAAATGGTCACTGTTGAAATGGGGTGTTCCACAAGATCTCTTGTAGGTTTTCCTCATGATATATTTACTTTATTAACATGCCTGTTCCTTACTGTACTCACCCATGGACTTCATGGGTAAAGCAGAAGGGGATAGTTGCCCACCCCTGCCATGCCTTCGATTGAATAAATCAGGTATGGTCGTTTTTTCAAAATAGTGTTTTCATGGTCACCCATTGCACAGTCTCTGGTGTTGATGTTCCTCTGGACTCTCCATTGCATTTTCTCTCCCCTTTTTCTTTCAGTAGAGTATGGGAGGCCTAACTGCTGTCTACTTCCAAGCCCCTGCGGTAGTGGACCATGGAGGCATCCTCCTGAATGTGATATTGATATATGATACAAGTAATGTTATAACCATTTAGTTGAGAGTAGGGCAGTGGTGTTCTGCTGGTGTACATGATGAGATGTCCTCCAGTCTGATGCTCAGTATCTGTATGGGTTTATCTGAAGGGATGTTGTGGCTTTGGAGTAAGCCATTATAATTGCAGTTCACCTCTTTGATTGCGATCCTAAACCCATATGGATGTTGGTTCTCAGTGGCTGGGTTTTGGATTCAGAGCTGAACCAATCAGCATAAGTCCTCACACATGTATTATATGTGTCTTTGTTTTTCAATCAATTATACTCTTGTTCTCTCTATTTGAGTTATGGGTCACAGTGGTGGAACTTGCAGGTTAATACAGTTCTTCTTCTTATGCTATCTTTCATTGATTTTCCTATACTGAGGATGTTATTGTGCTAGGAACAGTTCTTATTGGATGGTTTTGAGTGGGTTAGTTTCCACTACAGAGACATCTTTATTATGCTGATCTTCCAGATGTCGAGTTCCTAGATTGGTCAAACAATTTATCACATTGCTGTCGTGTGTCCCGTTCACTTGAGGTGAAGACGGTATGATCCTCTTTCCTACCCTCACATGGATGTCAGTTCCCAGTGGTTGGGATTTGGATTGTAGTTGACATACTGATAATATGATCCTCATACTATCTCCACTCAGATGTCACTTCCTGGTGGCTGGGTTTTGGATTCACATCCTTTTACTCTTACCCACATTAATATACTCTATGGGATTGAGATTCCGATATGTTGTGGTTCAGATCCCTATACAACCTTTCTTCTATCCTATTTGGATGTGCTCCCCCCATTTTCCACTCATGTATGCAACACCTCCCTTTCCACACTGGGCCAAGAGTATACCTGTGACAGAAGTGGTGTGGTCTCCCATGTATGATCCTCTATTGTGAGGATCTACTCTTTTAGGGGGTTCTTCGGATGTTTCAGGGAATTATTCTTTTCTTTTCCATTTTCTTTTCCTTCAGCTATTCAATGTGGGATTATAGTTAGTTGTATGAGAGGAGGTAATGTACCATATCAGAAGCTATAATTTTCATATACTTAAAGTATATTTCCAATAGGTGCTTTCATTTTCTGCCAAAACTTGAAGTGATATTTTGGTAGAATAAAATAGAGTGAGTCACATGTCAGGAGAGGGTGTTGCACTCCTATGGGTGGAAGGTTATCACATGATGATTTATATACATGACAAAGTTGAACCATTTGATGATAGGGTACATGGGAGCTGAAGGCTTGCAACATGTGCAAATTGTTTTGTATATAGAGAGCAGCACTGAAAGAAAATAGCTATATATGTGAGAGGAGGTAAGTAGCTTTTGGTAATATATTTTTAGTATAGAAAAATTATAACTTTGGGCATATAATTAGATTTGAGGGTAGGTTGGTAGAGATCCTGATGATTAGTAAAATCAAATTGGGTATAAAGGAAACAAACAAGTATAATGAAAAAAAAAATTATAAAGACAAGTAGGGATGGATATATATATATATATATATATATATATA